TAGGTGCAGAAAATGATTCAAATACTTATAAGGTAGCTTGTTAATTTATTACTTGGGTGATGTAAAATTAAAACCCAAAAGTGAATATTCAGGTTTTCAGTATGGCAAACGGATCGTATTTGTGATTCACTTATGCAATATTATAATTTTTGGGGGTTAAGTTCGCCACAGTGAAAATCTAAGTATTCACTTCCTGGTTTTGATTTTGCAGAACTTATTTTATAAATGAGTGTTGCCAAATAAAAACCCAGAAATCTAAAAATAGTTCATTTATGAATTTCATAAATGATTTATTTTCAGATTTTTGGGCTTTCATTGGAGACACTCAAATAAGTATTATAGTTCTATATTAATAAAGTTAACTTATTAATTAAATCTTTTAGTTGCTTTTTATACTATCTTTTAACTTACCGAACATAATCCAGATTTACTCATTCTTTATAAAAATACTTAAAAAATCTGTGTCAGGTTTTGTTGATCATTTATCACATAATTTTTTTTAGATACACAATTCTGCAATTTGTAATCATATCTGCATGTTTGTGTAACTTTCTGATTTATGCATCTAAGTAAAAATATATTGATTAGTACAAGTGCATAAATTAATAAATTAATACATAAAATATACATATTGTAAGCCTGATTTTGGGGTCATGGGTGGCTGAATTGAGGTGACAGTTCTTACCTGATCCAAGGTCATGCAAAAAGTAACAGAAATGTTACTTATGATACTTATGTCACTTCTGCTACTTCTGTCATATATGCGTTAAATGACATATCGGCCTTTTATTACATTTAGCTAATATATTGATTATAAGGAATATATTGTATTTATGGCATAAATTAATTACCAATGTAAATAGGATGTTTATTATAAATAAAGGGCATTACGGCCCAAGAGAACAGGAGTCATCCTTTATACAAATAAAACTTTCAGTACCAATAAATATCTGATCTATAATAAATATAAGTGTGATAATAAACTAATAAACCATCATTAATCCCACCATTGTTTATATTGTTCATTCATTTATAAACCACTAACTCGCCATTGATCACTTGCCATAAGTTACGTGACCAAGAAAGCCATCACTGTCATAAGAGAGTTTCAGCCCTGATTCAACATAAAGTAATCCCAAGTTGAGACATACAAGAGAAGACAAGAGAAGGACAGTAGTTAGTAAAGAAATAGAAGAAAGAAAAGACACAAAGAGAAGAGACAAATACTTACCTATGAATAAACTACTGGCCAAATTTAACATGCCTATTTTGACTTAACTGTTGTAGGTTATATGAAAGTTGGATTAGTTTAGCAACAGACTCGCTGAATTCTGAGTTGCAATATCAATATACTGAAAATAATGATAATATATATAATTACAGACACAAAAAGCTGTTAAAGACTAATAACTCAAGGCTGTCTTTGACAATTTTTTTAACGATGCAATAATTAGAATGTTTTTTTTGTTCTATTTAATGACTGTTTTTGAAAATGTGTAATATACCGCTATTAAAAGTAATGATGCAAATATAATGATTTTTTGATGTAATATCGCAAAAATTTTCAAACACCACTACTACATAAATACAAGAGAATTTCTGAGAATGGATTTTTTTTTTTTCGAAATGTTGATTATCATAATAAAAAAAACCTTTTCATGTATTTTTTGTGTAGTTAAATTTTGTCACATTACCTTTTTTTTAAAATACTTGCCTAAATTTTGTGATTTATTTACAGTTTTAGATTAAATAAAATAGACATTAAACAATTGTTAAATGATTCCTCAGAATCACCAGAACAATTACCTGAAAATATAGCAGCTACCCTTCCACCAAATTATGATTATATAGTTTCTGAGATTCAACAACTTCCCGATTATATTACATCGGAAGGATTTTCAGTAAATCAATTTAAAGTAACCTTTTTTGTAAATGTTAGTAGCAGCGAAGATTCAAAAAAATGGTTGACTAAATATAAAGAGACATCAAAAATGATGATGCCTGAGATGAAAGGTTTTCAAATACAAGGAAGAAAAGTTATTTTTCGAGAACTACACCATTGTGTTCACAGTGATAAAGTAAAACAAAAACAGGAGAAACCTATCTTAAAAAACCCTCATTCACTACGTAGTAGGAATACAGGATGTGCAGCTACGATTCACCTTCGAATTGAGCATTGGCGTTTCCAAACTAACCATCCACTAGAAATTAATATTAACTTTATGCATAATCATGTTATTCATTGTGCAAAGTCTTTTAGCTTTCAGTGTATCAAAGAGTAAGTACGTAATAAGTACCTTAAGCTTTTTACTAATGGACATTTACTAGCAACAGCCTTACATCTTTATAAGGATAATCTTTACTTGAGCGCAAGTGATGACCAGAAGCTTATAGAGTTATTAGCGGATCATGCACAAAATTCTGACTATGGATATGTTCTGTATCTATTTAACAAGTATTGTGACAAACATTTTGGAGGATGAAATGGAATGTCAATGTTTCATCAGCTTAAAGAAGTGGTTAAAAATTATAATAAATTAGGACAAGGTCATGCATTATTTCAAGAGTATAATTCAAAGTTAGGCAATGCTTTTATTCTTTGTATAGTCACAAACCTGATGAATTGTGTTCATGAAAGAATCTGTCAAGTGGGAGAGCTCTGTTACATGGATGCGTCTGCATTCTTTGAACTGCTCAATATATCAATAGTTTTGTTGTACATGAGTTGCATTGCAGGTGCATTGCCTTTGGGTGTTATTGTAATGTCAGACGAGTCAGAACAAACTTTTGAAAAAGGGATAAACCTTTTAAAAATACTTCTTCCACAGTATGCCTTCTTCGGCTGTGGTTCTGATATAGGTGCCATGGTCATTCTTACAGACGATTTATGCACTGAACAAAATGCAATAAGACATTGCTGGCCTCAATCAAGAAGATTACTATGCATATTTTATGTTCTTCAAGCATTTTGGCATTGGCTGCATAATGTGAAGCATAATATAAATAAAGAGCATAGGTCATCTATAATGGGTAATATGAGAAAAATACTGTATGCACAGACAGAAAGTGAAATGAAAGAATTTTACAGTAAATTAAAAACCAACTATTATTCTATATACTCACAATTACAAAGGCACTTTGGAATCAATAACAATCTTGGGCTGTATCATTTCATACTGGGCTTTTTTTACATGACAATCATACTAATAACTATATAGAGTGCAGTTTTGGGTTATTAAAGGATATTATATTTGCATGTACACAGGCATATAATAGTGTCCAAGTATTTCAATTTATTACTACTAGTATGGAACATTTTTATGAATGTAGGTTATTTGGAATAGCACATAGTTATCCTAGTCATATTAAAATAGCTAGATGTTTTTTATGCCCAGGCTGGGAAGCGATTGATATAACAAAAATTCAACAAACCAAAGCAGATATGGAATTTTTGGTTCCAAGTCAAAAAAAGCTGACATTTTTTACACTGTCAATATCGAATTTAATATATATACTTGTTATATTGGGTCATCCAGAGCACCATGCAAACACCAGGGTGCGGTAGCTGCAAAATACAATACTGAACTATTAAATTGTTTTCAATCATTAACACCAAATGATCATGCTCATTTTGCATATATCACACGTGGTAAGTGATTAAATATTTGAACAGCTTTTAGACTAATTAAATATAATAGATGTATTAATAATGTTATCTCAAGGGCTTATGCCAAATGATCTTTCATTTTATGTATCATTACATACATATGCAAATGATTAGCATGAATATCACAAGTGTAATGGTAATAAGTTTTTGAATAGTATCAGCATATCTCAGATGACTAATGAAGCTCAGAAGTTAAAAGAATTTAATGTGAACAAAATTATAGTTTCAAAGTATATTTATATTTTATAGGGAAATTCTATTCTTACCTGGGTTAAAGTTATCTGAAATATTGCTAATACTAATAGATTTAGTTATGTAAATAATATAGTACATCAGGTGACTTTAATCTGAGTAAAAATAGAATTTTTTTTTTTTATAAATCTAGTTTAAAATGGCTAAAAGTTAATTTATTTTCAGGAATAATCCTGATTCATTTAAATCATTTATTGAAATGATCAAATATAATTATGAAAAAGATGGATTACAACTTCAGCTTGCATTTGAAAATTTGCAGATTGATATAATGCAGTAAAGTCTAAATCTATTCCAACATTAACATCATTTCTTTATAATATAAATCATAATGCTAATCCACATACATGAATAAAAAGCAGTGCAAAAATCCATGTCCAAGTTGAATCGGTAAAGCACTAAAAAACAAGTAAAAAAAATATTGATCCTCAAGTAATTCTAGCATGCAAAACTCGAACTGTTGGTAAAAGGACACATAATCTTAATTAGAATATTAAAAAAAATCTGTTGAATTAATGGTCTATAAGCATTTAGATGTAATATTCCTACTAATATATGTTAGTTTACATAGCTTATTATGAGAATCGACATAAAGATAAGAGTAATTCAGTAATTAAAATTTATGGAATAACAAAGAATCAAATAATAATTATAGGATGGTTATACAATATGCAAAGCAGTGAAGTCTTAGTAAATTATTCAATAGCAAATTTAACGATTTAGATTGAAATTCCAAAGTTGTATTGATAATATATATTATTACTTTAATTGAATTGATGTTTTTTCTTTTATGAAATTTAGTTTTAAGGCAGTAACTTAAATATTTTAGACATTAAAAGCAGTTGTACTTAACAGTGGAATAATGCATCATATAATGTAGTTGTCTAGGAAATAGGATTAGAAATGTTAAATAAATAAAGGTTAACAAAAGTTAACCTTGGCTGTTGCTAATAGTAAAAAAAAAAAATTGTAGAAATTATATTTCTTAATTTCAGCATCCTGGATGCTGAAATAAGACAGTGCCAATTTTTTTTTTTTTTTTTTTTTAAACTTAAGCAGTCACGCTAGTACTTTATTAAGATTTTTGGAATTACATTAGCAATTACATAAAATGTCCCTAATAACTAAGTCTAGCATCACCCGGTCACCCAAATGGTACCTAAGTGCGACCTGCTGCACTACTCCAAACATGTTAAAATAGGTTGCTTGTCTAACTACTTAAAGTTCAAAAAGATAGAAGAGGCTTCTCCCTTCTATGACAAGCTCTAATAATGTCTTCTTAGCTTCTTTTCTAATCTGTAAATCCTTCTTTTTTTGAGCTTGCTGTTTGATTTTGCTTTTAGTGTCTTGTGTATTATATAAAATTGCTTTAGTTGATTTAGTTGATGCTG